ATAACGGAATAAGAATTTTGTATTGGAGACAAATTTATCGATAAGTTTCATCTGGTTTTGAAGCCTGTCTGCTCTTATCGTCTTTGCGAATATGTTCCTTATGTGTTTGTATTGTCTGTATGTGCCGTTGTTACCAGTTCGTTTGTATTCTGCCCAACAGTGCCTTTTGCGGTTTAGCAGACGAAGAGTGAGGTTCTTGATGACTTTGGGTCGCTTGTAGATCATGTGGACCATTTGAAGGATAGACTGATTGTAGCACATAAGATCGTGTGCAGGAAGAAATCCCAATTAGCCGCCTTCACATCTTCAAATAATCCCAGATCCTCAATGAGGTTGAAGAACCGAGCTTCCGTAGAGTTTTCACCTTCAATATACCTATGTTAACTTTAGGAAGACTGGAGTGCCCTGAAATCAGGATATGAGTGAATCTGAGACGAGTAGAGCGGGCTAATCCTTCCAGCATACGATTGTTGTACTCGATGTCAGCAGTCGGCTTCCTGTAGATGACTACAACTAGACACCTCGAGGTGGTAGATAGTCATACTGAGCACAATATGGATTGATCAAGATTGATAAACTCTTGGTTGTGCACTTGGTGTACCTCCAGGCATGATCGTAAGTATAAGGCTACTCCACCCCCAATTCCTGTTTTTCTGTAATGGCGAAACTTGACAAATTTACGGGAACACTAGTTGAAATGCTTCCTCTTCACGGTAATAATTTTGTTCCTTTAGTTAGCTCACTAATACATATGAATATTAACTGACTATCTAATTTATTCTAAAAATAATACCAAAATTAGCAGTGATACAGAACTGATTGTTTTTAGGTTTCTATTCATAAAATACTTGTACTACTTAAAAGTTAAGCTATTAACCAACGGCTTTTGCTACGCATATCAGAGTGTCTTAATAAGATATCTCTACACGAAATCATTCTTCATTATTGTAACAGAAAGAGAACGATGAAAATCCCTTTGCAGCTTTTTTGTTGGACAGTACTGTCATTTATTTGTTTCTTCTCCCCGTCGTGTATTTTAACCTTTGTTGAGATCTCGTTTAACCACACCTTTCGTTCTGAAGTCTTCTTGGTCTGAGCCTTCACTATGTTATTTTGATTAAAAAATTACCTTTTGTTATCTAACTTTCTGTTGCATGTTGCCGGACTATTGACAGTAAGGACGTGCTTGACTAAGCACAAGGTCACGGCGTAATTCAGTCTGTGGCTGTTTGACTGTCTGCTTGGGAGGATTGCTGGAATCCCTGCAGATAAGTATTTGATCCCACCTTGTTGGGAATATTTTTATTGATTCCCAGGTATTGTACCCTTTAGTATTAACTGTTTTTTATTGTTTAGCGCGTTACTTTGCGTCTGAGAGACTTCTGACTGTATAGCACAGGCTGTACCGTTTGAAGCATTTTTTATTTCTGATGTAATTTGTTCTATTTCCTAAAATAGAACCGTTTAAATCCAGCACGAAGTTTGTGTTTTGATATAATTTAATACGAGTGTCTCAAAAACGTAGTCTGACCTAATCGAATAGTTTTTGGTTCGTCAGTCCTGCGTTTAAACCGAATACTGGTAGTTCGGTCGTTACAATTATTATAACTCCGCTTCGTCTAAAGCTTGAACAACCACACATATTTTCATTTTTGTGTTAATAATGAAATCAAGAATTTTGGTATTATAATCAGAAAGGTGTTTTGTGAATATATTAGTAATTTAATAGTCGAATTCATATGCTCACTGGTGACTCTCTCCAAGAGGTATTTCCTGGAGTTCTGGTGAGAAGCGGTGACTAGTGGAGTTCAACCAGGTCTGTTGTGGTATAGTAACTCCACGAAGACAATGGTGGACGATGGCCTTATATTGTGGATTGGTTTAAGTTAGACATTAACACGGTTGGATGCCAGCTCAGTGGTCTAATGGTTTAGCGTTCGCGTGCGAGGCCGATAGGTCCTGGGGTAGAATTTCGTGAGCGGGATAGTGGATGCGCATTGCTGAGGTGTCACATACTAGGACGAAACGGCTGTTTAGTGCCCCCAGCTTTTCCATGGTGGTCTGGTTTTAATTGACTCATAAATTCAACTATTAAATTTCGGAATTGTTACATGTATTTTCCAATCAGTTTCTGCCTCCTTTTTTATTTAAATTTCAGCCAATCAACACCCGGAAGATTGTTATAGTTATTTTAGTAACCTCTGGTGCACAACAATCCCGCTCGATATGGTATGGAACCAACGTCGCGTTGATTCTGGTGGGAGAGTAGTGTAATGCTACTGGTTCTAACCATACAATCTTCAACGCCGAAGATGAGATAACTAGGAAATAGATATTCAACATTTCACACATAGAAAAGGTCAAGAACTGTGAGCGCAGAAAAATTCACTTAAGAACCAATCGAATGGCACGGCTCAGCCATGCGAACGTGGTCATTCTTGTGTGACGTGCCTCTTCAATTCATATTAAGTACATCGTTCTATCTCCAGCCTAAATGTGTTCTTCAGAAACGCCAATCATATTGCTTATAGTTATGAAACGATGAGTCAGTGTAGACAGTGATGTGACTTACACGTAAGATCATATATGTTAGGCAGTCATATCATGACATATCTACAATTTTAAGATTAGGTCTATTATTGTAATAATGCTTATAACTAAGTAGACCATGATTCTACAAGCACACTGATATGATGCGATTGAACAAAGTCTCCAAAGAGACACAGTACTACTGAAACAAGTGACACACAAGGACTACATGGTCTTCAGTCTCCAGAAATGCCAGCTGATTCTGTTGCGAGCTACAAAGCAGACCAACATCGACGACCTTCTCTTCGGGCGACGCTTAGAACAGAACTTCAAAACGCGCGATTCACATCTCTTAATAATCAAAACCTGAACACAAGCAATAACCACCTGAGACATCAGGCCAGTTAGTAGGGAGCGCTTAGAATCGTTCGAAGACGGACGGACATCCTGGTATCTGGATTCTTTCTGACGCTGCCCAGCACTTACATCTAGGATAACTAGAGACCCACGTCATTGTTTCACCTGCTCTACTTGAAGGGGATATAAAGGTCTTGAAGCGACTGTAGTGGCTGTTCAACAAACTGGGTGATTACATTTATGGGCAAACCACTGTGCGTTGTACTTGCTGCTTTGAATACGAGACGACCGGATATTGGAGTAAATTATACCGTAGCGGTAAATAAATTCCTAAAACCAATAGATCTGTTAGTCTTCAACATTTGATGCTGACCACATTAGTTTTAATGAGCTCACATAGGTGAAGGTGATCGGTCATGCATCTGTAGCGTGGTGTCGAGTTTAGATTAACTATGAACACCGCTACAGAGAAACACGTGCCAAGTAAATCAGAAGGCGACGGTTGAACGTAACCAAATAAATCTATAAAATCCCCGAGAAGCCAAATATCAGAAGACAGTTAATGGATCAAATCCAGATATATTCGCTGGCGATCTCGTGGTATCGAAAGGATACCGAGATCGTGCTAGGATACAAGCTTGGTTACAGAACGTAACCGAATTCGCGCGAAGTCACAATCAAAGTGTAAGAATAAGAATGGAAGCACAATATAGCTGTCATTAGCACAGTCAAACAAAAGCACATTAAAACAGTCGCTGGTACAATTGGCTTTAACAATAATTGTTTTCAATAAACCAATCGCGTTCTCGTGATAAAAGTGAGTCACTACACATCCGCACCCGTTCACCAGAGCACGCCGTCGTCTGTTTCTCTAGCAACCACTAGTCTGTTTGGATAAGTCACGCCTCGATATGTCAATGTTCTATAAAATATATCTTCGAGTCTTTTTGCTTACGACTTCTGATTTCACTTGTTTGGCACGTTTCGACGGTAAAAGGTGTTACTAGTTAAGGCGTTGTCAAATTCTCAATACTTGTGCCATCTTTTATCCAGGGAACAACATGGTTTTCAGAGAGACCTATCATGTTTGACAAATCTCTTTGCTAGAGGAGATTGGGCAGCAGCAGAAGATTTGAATATTCCTGTAGATATGATCTTCGTAGATCGAATTAAGGAAGATGGTGACATGGATGGACAGGTGGCCACTAGAATTAAATCTTAACAAGCGTATGGGGATGCAACTAAATAACTATGATGATTCGTATCACTACACAATATGTGTATTCGTGCTAAGAAAGATCTAGGAATCACACTAGGCAATGATCTCAGAACCAACAGTCACTGAAAGGCTGTTGCTGAGAAGGGTTATAAGATGTTATGGTCAATTCTTTTTTCTTTGTAGTATTCAGATGACGAAACGTTTAGATTATTATACCCGATTTTCGTGCGACCACATATGGAATATGGGATTTAAGCAGCGAGTCGTTGTTTCAAGTGTGAAGCAGATATGCTGGAAAGAGTCCAACAACGGGGAACTAAGATGGTTAAAGGTCTGTCTGAACCATCTTATGAAGACCGACTGAGACACCTTAACTTCTGTTATCTTACCGTAGAATACGAGGTGATCTAATATTGGCTTGTCGTATACTGAACGGTGACCTTGGTACTAACACGTCTTATCTTTTACTTCCATCTTGAACCGATCCGTTGAAAGGACATTCGAAGAAATTCCGAAAAACGAGATCAAATCCTTTACGTCTAGACTTTCGTTTTTCGCGTTGAGTATTGAGTTACTGGAATTCTCTACCGGAACACGTAATACCAGTACCTTCTGTTAATATATTCGAAATGATATTGGAACTCCACAGCGTGAAAAACCTCAATGAATAATAAAGGTCGATAGACCTCCTATCCTTATTATTGAAGACTGAAGACTGAAATGCACTCATTCGTACTCGACAAAATACACCATCAAATTTACAAGGATTCATGAAGCTAAATGATTAAGTTTTTATACTGGATGGTAAGGAAGACCCATAACTGTACCGTTACATCAAGGAGCGGAGGCAATGAAATTTATTGATTTAAACTAGCTCACTAGACAGATATTGTTCATTGAATTAGAGGCAAATTTGATGTGTGCGCTCCTGTGCCGGCCGTATGATATTTCAAATACTTGTGTAGGTACAATAATTTTGATGCGAACATCTGCAAGCATTGCTGACGCTTGTCTATCCTATGAACAATTGGCACCCTGTTTTAAGGATAGTCACATATGTTACTAGTCTGCGTGGATGACTTACATATTCTTTACAAGCTTGTATTGAATTTTTATCCCCCATACCTAACAATATTCATTTGATACAGTTTAAAGTTTTGGTATATTTGGTAAATTAGATTTTATTTGATATACATAAGGATCCAACATTTTCGACAATGGATAAAGAAAAGACGAACACCTTTAAAACCTCAACTCAAATGGATTCCTTAGAAAAATTAGCAGTTTCTCTTCCGTCGGCGGCTTTCGGCTTAGTTCCATGTAGTGAAAATAGGGACTTCGATACACGTCTTTTAAATAAGTTTCAATCGGGAAGGAAGGGGTTTGGTTTGGTTAAGTCGTCACGTACTCTCTCGGAACCCACTATACCAACATCTAAATCATTGAAAAGTATGACAACATCCAATTTCGTTTCTCCTACGTTTGCAAGGTATATGCCTTACTTTTTGTCATCTCTCAGCGGTGATTCAAGCTCGTCGACAACAATGTCTTCTATCTCTGTGTCGAATTTAAGTGATGAATCCAGTAGTGTGAGACTTCCATTGTCTCCAAGTCAACTGTCCTTACCAGAACCTCCAGATGGAGGTTGGGGTTGGGTTGTTGTAATCGCCACGTTTTTTGTACACATGATAACCGACGGGGTAATAGTATCGTTTGGCGTTTTTATTGAATCTCTCGTTGAGGAATTCCAAGATTCAATGAGTGCTACTTCGTGGATCGGGTCATTTTCGTATGGTATTCCTGCACTCGCCGCCCCTTTGTCTTCGTTTCTGCTTAATCGCTTTGGATGTCGAGTGACGTGCATGGTTGGTGGGCTGATAAGCGGTCTAGGATGTTTTGCTGGCGCCTTCACTAATTCTATAATATCGCTGGTCTTTTCGTTTGGCATTTTATCTGGTCTGGGTGCAAGTTTGTGCATCACATCAGCTCTTGTTGTTGTTTCTATGTATTTTGATAACAGACGAGCTACTGCCACTGGATTGTCCATAGCAGGCACAGGTGTCGGTGCGCTTGTATTTGCTCCAATGGTAGACATGCTACTGAATATTTATACGTGGCGAGGGGCTATGATGATACTGTCTGGGTTTTTCCTAAATATGATAGTATGTGGTGCTCTAATGCGTCCTGTTGAAACTGACGTCGAAAAACGACATAGACAACGTCTTGCTTGGTTGGAACACCTAGCTCGCGAGTCGGGCTTACCACCTTTTGAAAGTGCAGACTACTTGGATAAGGATGTGCTTGGTCGTATAAAGTTGCTACGTGACCATATGTTAGCTCCTCGCAGAGTTACATTGAGCTATTTACACTCAACAAATGAAATCAATAACAAGTTGATTTCATCTACTAGTTGTTTCAAAGTTCTGGAAAACAAGACGAATTTATCTAAAGATATTCTCCAAATCCCCCCGATCCACTCCAAATCACAACCACTAAATAAGAAAGCGCTACAAACCCAGGATCAGGATGTATGGAAAGACGGTGCATCCACATTAAAATCTCGAAATGTGTCAGGGAACAAGAAAGTGTGTAGCTTCATGCTCCAATGTCCGGAAGTTAGGTCCGATGTAGTTTCGTTCTCACCTTTATTTCCTATTGAGGATTTTGATTGTGGTGTACAAGATAAAAGCCATGAGGCAAATAATAAATGTGAAATTTATAATACTAACGGAAGTCTTAAATCGTTCAAGAACTTTATTCATTATAACCATGAAGACACTGTTTGTCCTAAGAAGGATGAAGCATGCGTTTTAAATCATTTTTGTCAAGACAATCAGACGTATATGCGCGGTGATTGCTGTGAAACCAGTTCCCTCAATTTTACACATAATACCTCGCAGAGTTATAATCAGAAAGACATTCTTCGAGGTTCTTCATCTAGTTTACTTGAGTATTATCGCTCTACACATCAGAGTTCAGTGAGTCTACCGGATCTTCATCATCTCAGAAGGGTGTACAAAACCGACACTTCTAGTGAATCTGGTGTGTCATCTCAATGTTCGCTGAGGTACAATTGTAGTTGTTTGGCGAATAAAAAGTCAGGATTAAAGTCGATGGATGGAGATGAAAAATGTCAGGATAGGGGAATATATTGTTGTAACTTCTGTACAGAAATGTGTGCCGACAAACATGATATTCTTCACCGTCTTTTTGATCTGCGACTGTTTAGAAGACCTACCTTCGTTTTGTTTATGGTTTCAAATTTCTTACTCTACTTCTGGTACAATGTTACATATTTTTTTATGGGTGTGCGTGCTATCAATTATGGTCTTAGTGAAACACTTGCAGCCCTTTTGTTTTCTGTTCTTGGTGGTGCTAACATGGTTGGTGAGGTTTTAGCTGGATTTTTGGCTGACCGTGATGGCGTCGATTCTCTGACTCTATATTTCTTCATGATTCTTGCATGTGGTGTGTCAACGTGTTTGATGCCGTTACTTACTACGTTTATGTCCATGGCAGTTTATTCTAGTAAGTATTTTCTCGTTTTCCATTGTTTCCACTTAATATTAAACTGTAGTGTAACACTCACTTACTACCAGATGTAATTGTTTTAAAGGGACAAAATAGGTCCAACTATTTAACCAAATATATGTTCGTTGACTCATCTACTAACTGTATCAATTATTTATTGAAGACATTTTGAATAACACCAATGCCACATCTTAACTGTTGGAGTGCGTTTAATTACTGTAGATGTTAATCTTTGTTAGCAAACGAAGGTGCAACTAAAGAAAACTTTACTGGCCTAAATAAGTGTATTTGTCTATCTCCAAATACTATAGAATATGTTTTGTAACTGTACAATATTGGCATACATTTTTAATTCACTCCAGTAACGTTTTATAGTTGACTTCCATTCGGGTCCATTAATTTGTGTATGGCAGTAATTCCTTAGAGTTGCCGATTATAATTGTATTGTCAAGTGTCCTAATGTTTATGTCATCATATTACCTTATGCAAGATATTCAAAATGTAAGAGACCATTATTTTTAGACTGTATTATATATCTGTTTGATATCCCAGCAGTGTCTAAAGCGTACGCTCATAGTATAAGGGGCGACTGTATTAATTAAGTAGCAGTTCTAACTTATGACTTTGAGGAAATTAACACGTTCACTATTTGTAAACGTCTCTAAGTGAAATTAAATATCTTCAAGAATCAACCCTGAATATAATGCAGTAGTTGGAAAATTATATGAAATTGTTTTCATTCTGTATGTTGACTAGCTTTTTAGTTACTTGAATTGGATTTGTTTTATGGATCAGGTTGTACGTAACTAACTGATCGTACAAGAGCTCCTGCAGATTTCATTTAGGTGTTCATAGACCTAATATTGAATTTCGAGTATTTCATCTTGATGAATATTTGAACTAGGCTCTTACACTTGTCAGTATGGCTTTCCATTCTAGCGGAAGTATTCAAAATATAGGTTTATTAACAGTAGTTTTCAAACTAGATGGTTTATAAACAAGGTAAAGGGGTCTCATTAGGCAAATGTTTTGCCTAAAATGAAAACAGAACCTGAAAGTTCTTGTCAATTTTCATTTTAGAATACGTTTGGGTTGTTTGCATTTTCTGCCTAGTGTTGAATACCATAGGCTACTGTCAATCAATACAAATATGGATTGGATGTATATGTTCGGTCGTAATCGTTTTTGAAATATTGTTCGTGTTTGGTAGAAGTTTAAAATAAGAGGTGTGCATATTGAAGTAAGTTTAATAAATCAGTTAAAGTTATGAATATTCGTCAACTGAATTGGTTTGCAGTATGCTGTGCATTTCGCTGCTGCTCTTATTACTACCCATTGTGTTGGCTATGATGTAATTGGTTGTTTGTCTGAGTCATCCTTGGAGATGCATACATTGTGAGTAGTATTCACAAGGTAATTTTAATTTATGATTGAAGGATTTAAGTGATATGGGTCAGATTCATCTCTCAAGTCCTAAAATTAGTTTGGTTTCTTTACGTTGGATCCATCTTTTGAATAATTTCCTTCCCTCTAGTTTCCCACTGTCATTAGTATTATTACAATCAATAGCGTGTCTTTCCTCGGGTACTCCGGTGTGTTTCTGCATTTTGAATCGACAAGCACTTGTATTTGGCTCTACACTGTTTACTCCTGTCGGCACTTTCTATACAGTTAACAGTATGCTTCGTTTTCATTCAAATTTAGGCGTGTTTGGTATGGGATTGGCCGCTAATGATGCTCTGTGCACTGTTCTGTTGGTAGAATTTGTTGGACTCCATCGCCTTACCAATGGTCTTGGAATTTGTTTTTTTTGTCAGGGTGTCGCCAATATTTTGGGACCGCCTCTTATTGGTAAGTATGGAGCTGTTTGAAATGAACTTCAGTTGTTGTAACGCTTTGTGCGATATAGTTTGTTTCCTATGGGATGATACCTTAAGGAAGCTGTCAAGTAATCTTAATCGGCGAGACTATAATTTATGGACGAACCAATCAGACTTACGATAACAAGTCTTAGATTTTGGCGCGAAATTCATCCACCCATTTGGTTGAATAGAGTCTTGGCATTATAGCCGATGTCAGTTCGTGATGAAAACCCTAAATCTAATTCCTAACCCTAACCATCAAGAGTAAATTATAATCCTTATTCTTCAAACTGTTTTATAACCCTTACTTAGTCCTAGTAAGTAGGTAGACATACTCAAGGTCATTATAGCGTCACTCAAAGGTCGTCCATAAACTATAGTCTCACCTCTTAATCTAATATATTGATGTGTTTGTCCTATTTTCCCACACATATTTGCATATATGTTTAGTAGAAAAAATGTGGCACCATAGCCGAATACTAATATATTTTTGTTAAAATATTTTCGGGGATTTTTTTAGGAGTAATTGACGTCTTTGATCTATACTACTCATCATTTTATGTTATTGTGAAACCTACCGCGTAACTCCAAAACCAAAAACAATATGTGTTTAGTTTTCCCCTACACTTTCTTTCTTTATAGTGATAAATCATGCTAGTCCCGATTATCTTACACAGTCGGAAAAGTCACTACATTTTCAGGGTTCTTATAGGTTGAAGAATCTAAACATCACTAACGCTTCACTGGCGTGCTGGCTTAGTGGCTAAGGTGTTCAACTTTCGATCACCTTCACTTGGGGCGACCGGATAGTGAGTCAATAAAACATTTCATCGTTTAAAATTAGTAGTGCATTCTGCCCTATTCTTTGCTACTGAATCTCATAACCATTCTTGTATGCAGAAACTGCCACAGCAAATATCTGACTGGTCCATCGTAGCTTACTTGAACTGTGACTAGGATGGAAAGATGTATAACGACTTGGGTGTCAAAAATCCTAAGTTGGTTCAGTTTTAATGAAGTATTATCATTCAATTCGTGGAATCACTGTCTTAGTACTGTTTTTCTGTAAGAATATACTTTTTCATCTTATCTACATCTCACTGACAAAAGATGATTTTTACTGTTGTTATTCGCCATTTTCATTATTCCTTTTAGCAGAGTGTCCATGTTTTCATAATCAAGAGTTTGATATTATCCCATTCATTCTAAATCAGTAATAAATTAATCGTCAAACTTCGTATAATATCAATCCTTATCAACCAAATGTGCGGACGAACTTTAAGTATAATTCTGACCATTAATGAAGTTTAAGGTTCTAACCAAGTTTTAGATGTCTATCATGTGAGTATTGTATGATTGATACAAAGCTGAGTGATAAACTTATCGCCTTTGAACAGTCTAAATAACCAAATAAGTTTTCTATAAACCCAAATATTTCAGTAAATATGTTGAAAGGTATTCATGAAAATAGTATGTTATGATGTTCGTTTCAAGGCAACAGTTAAACCACTTAGTAAGTACTTCCCAACACATTTAATGTTAGTTCCTTAAGTACTGTAGCTTTCCTCATGGAATATATGTTTCCGGCTGCACCATTTTCAGCAAAACAACTGTTAAGATAAACTCAGGATAATCTGATTGGTACGCTTAGAAAATGTCTGATATTTATTATTTTAAGCTGAAATCGATTAATTTCATAGTGAGATTTGCTTAAAACCGTTTATTTTTACTATATAGCTGTTCATTGTTAGGGTTACTTAAATAAATGTATACACGCATATAGTTAACCATAAATAGTAGCAAAAACCCAAATTAATACAAGTTTTAGAGTAATAGTTAAAACATGTGCTTTTCAAACCTTCAGTTGTGGGTTCAAACTCAACTCAACGTTCTTCGGTATGTTCCAGTGTGTAATACCACTAGCTTTCACGTGAAAAGTATGTCTTATTGCCGTGTACATGTGACCTAGAATTACTTGAACTTCTAAGTTGAAATTAATTTGAATTACAAATTACATAAGATTTATATAATAAACGTTTTAATAACCATCAGCTCCTATGGAATATAAAAAAATAATCATTATAATGGTATAAAGGTCGACTGATATTATCAAAAGCTCTTGTCTAAACAACTGCAGATTGTAATTCATTTCCATTTAAAATGTTTTTTACGTAGTCATTTAGAAGTAAACATAGTCTCTCTCTCTCTCTCTCTCTCTATATATATATATATATATATATATATATATATATATATATATATATATATATATATAAGGTGAACGTTAGAGAAAATAATATTTCTACCTACTGATCAATGATTAGTTTTTTTTCCTTTGTAAATCACCAGTTTCATTGATTTTATAGCAAACGGATGTAGTAAAAGTCACTGTTGATATTTCCTGATTGCTTACAGTTACTTTATCCAATGAACGTCTATTAGTTGTATGTTTTAAATTTGTTATTTTTATATTGTACTACTGGAATATTTTTATTCATTGTAACTTTGTTCCATACAAGATAATACTAATTTTTAAAATATCAATAGAGAGGTCCTACTTTACTTCCGTAGGTATTTGTAACAAGCGTTTTTTGTCGAATCACCAGATAGTAGGTTTTCCATATAACATCAGTGGTTGAAATGTATCTCAACTCATCTGAATCTCTAATACCGAAAAATTAAATGTCAGTGCAATAGTCGGCAACATATCGATCAAGTAATCTTTATGACGTTTGTGACAGAGCTTCTTTACAGTAATAACTTATTTTTTCTAACTTCAACCATTATTTCTTGTTTCATGGTTCATTGGTTATATCAACCTACGTGATATAGCAGAGATCTTTAGGAAGACTTTCATTACGAAATCACTTGATCAGACCAACCCTCTTTCAGCTCTGTTCAGTATGTAGATGCTCTTCTAGCTAGACGAATAATTAAATCTTCCACGGTTGTATAGCAAATAGTTTTTCGACAGTCCAAAAAGAAGTCTTTGTCATATCCATCTCCGAAAGATATTTTAAGAATGTAAATGTAAAATATATCAAAGTGTATACCTGTCACTCCTCGAATTTCACTCGTTGACTAGCGTAATAGATATCAAACCGTACGAAATGCCGGTAAAATAAATTTTGCCCCAACAACCTACTTTGGCTTGCTTACCCAGGTTGCATTACTACACCACAAAGCAGAGCTAATTGCGATGAGTAATATGAATGACCTGCTTAATAAACGTCTGCTCACAAAAGTTAGCTATGATACTATAAATACCTAATATATATTCCTGTTCTCCTATGTGTTCATTTTTTTGTGCTTTTTCTTGTGTAATTTCCATATTTAACTCTGCAATTTATTTTGTTTTTACCTACCAAACACGAGTCAATAAATGGTTACTTTCCGAATCCTGCCTTTCACTTCTATGTTTTACTCAGGTATTTTCGAAGCTGTACGTGCTGTTCAAGTCGACCGCTTTCGACGTACTCACCTTATGTAGCTCGGATGATAGACATGTCCGACTAGGACTCTGGAAAATCTCATTGTTGTTTTATTCTGTATCTTATGAGTTTGTGATCAAGTTTCCGGTGTAGCGCTCTCAAGTTCTTCGTACCACAACATTTGGACTTGAGTTGTCGTTGTTGACCTGAGCGCTAGAGGAAGATTCATTCCAAACATCTGGGTTTCCGCTAGCTTTTGTGTACTGTATTACAAGTTACTCTTTGGATAAAACCAACTATTCACATACTTATATAAATGAAGTTGGTTAGAACTTAATACGACTATATAAGCATCATGGTAAAACAAAAATGCAAATAAAATAAAAGGTTGAATCATGAGTTGCAAATAAATGTCTTGTTCAAAAGAAGACTACAACATCAAACACGATATTAACAAAATACTAAGTGATTGCACAGTAAAATAACTGAATACAAGTTAATAGCAGTAACGAATGACATGAATTAAGCTCATTTAGTAAAAAATATAGTTATAAACAAGTAAAGGGTTGAGAGACCATGTAGTTGAAAGAAGAAAGAGTTGAAAAAGTCACTGTGATGTAACGAAACAAGAGGTATTTTTCAAAGGCAATAAACATTTCTTTTTGAAAACACGTAGTTTTATGCGTTCAGTAGTTACGGGTTCAGCAACTTGAACAAGACTAAACATTAGTTTTTTAATAATCACCTGGAAAAATATTACGGTACGTACTTGATGCTATGCGTCGAATGAATATTTTGAAACAGCGATCCTGAAACTCCATAACATTCATGCGAGTATATTAAGGTAGGTCCTTTTTTTATCTATCAGCCTAACTTATTTGTGAGATACACATAAATGCGTACACACAGTTGGAAATAGTATGAAAGTCATACTGGTCGATCTCTGATTATTTTAGGGAGTATGTAGTTTTACAGAAAACGATCATTTTGGGTCCAGGATATCTTAGTTGAAATTGGAGCATCAACACGTTTAAAGTCAAGGTCAAAAAGTAATGGGCTATCTGGTGACTGGAGTTATTTTAAGCTTTTTATACCCCGTGTTACTGTATTTATTAACAAATTTTTATGAATACTTCTCGTTTATCGGGGACCTTTTAGCATTCATAAGTTTCTATCCTAGTTTGTATTGGTAAATATCTTTTCTTCTCTGTAAAATAGTGTCTTGGTCAGTGTGTTTTGTAACGAACTGAACAAAAGCTACTCCGGTTCAAATATAATACACTCTTTGTCAGTAAATCAAACTTTAAACTGTTTCATTTTGATACTAAAAGATTGGATCTTGTCATCCTTTTTGTGTCCCATAGTAAGCTAGATATTCGTTTCCAGAAAGTTAAGGCTATATGTAGGTTGCATGTTGATTATTACTTACCATAAACTTATCCTTTAAATACTTCAAATAATACATCGATTTATCAATTACTTCCGTAAGCTCGGTCTTTCAAGCTTACCCACAAAACTATATCCCAGGGCCGGACTTACTGAACTTCAGTTTCTACAA